GTACAGTGCTTCTATACTGGATCACCGCATGGCTTGAGCAGTTTCGTGGTAGCGTTTGACCACGGTGAAAAACAGGGAAACAAGGAACATGCAGTGCAAAATCAGGTTTTGGGGCTGCAGGCTTCGACTTTCGTCTGGGTGCAGGTCACATGTTCATCGTGCTTACTTCAACAGAAAATGTTATGAGAATCATAACACCACCTCAGCTGAAAGCAGTCCTTGCAAAGAATTGCCAACATCCTGGTCGCAAAATATGCTTCTTCTCTGTTAGGAAAGTGGCCTTGCACTAGGTCCTCAGCCCCAAATGGCTCTGATTAACACAGGTCAGATCAGCACCCGTCGCAGAGCGTCTTCGAGGACACTGAGGAAACAAAGTCAGCAAGGTACGATCGTCCAGGTGTTTCTACACAGAGTCAATTCGATGCAGGCCATCCTGTGGTATTTCACAGGTGGCGTTCGTCATTGGCAATAGGGCCGGTAATCAATTCGCAGGTTCTCAGGTCGGATCTTCGCTACTTGATAGGCTCCAAAGTTGTCCTGCAGTGTGAAGGGTATCAGGCAAGGCCAAAAAGAGTGCAATACTGCCTTGTCCCTTTCAGTGTCAAGCTCGCAGTCTGCTTCGTTTTCACACATCTAAGATCTAGGTTTGTGTTTCGGACCACATGTCCAGGAAGTTTGCATGCTTCAAACGCACAACAAAAAGAGACTCGGCGGTCCATTATGGGCAACTGCACATTGTAGCGACTGGTCTCCGCATCATAAGACTCCACCATGGCACTGAGACCATTGAAGTGTGGTGTATTGGTAAGGCCATCCAGCACCACAGCCATGCCCGGAGCGATCTGAGGGGTCGCGGGCATCGCCCACACCGGCGAGCCTTGCGAGGCTTGCGCGCCTGGTGGGCCCCCCTGAGAGGCCTGGTGAGCTTGCGCCCCGGCCCCTTGCGATACAGGTGCGGTGCTGAGCACCATTGAGCCACCGCAAGCAGCTCCCGCTGGCGCCGCTGGTGCCCCTTGCGGTTGTGTACTCAGAAAGCCGGAGTTCTGTGGTGTCTGCATGCTGGCCTTGTTCAGCATCCATGGGTTGGAGCGGACCACGTTCTCATCCACAAGCCCAACCCCATCTACGTGAAAGAAGGAACCCGACACCGTTTGAAGTGCTTTTGAACTTGGCACCTTTTGAACGTCCTCTTTGAACTGTCGATGTTTGGTCTTTTCGGCTCCCTCCCGCTGCACTGCTGAGAAAAGGTCTTCCTCATCCACAGCATCCAGCGGCTCCTCTTCATCAGCTCCGCCTGCAGGAATTCGCATTCTCCCTCGCTCCCCCCGCTCGCTCGCGCGCTCGCTCTCTCTCTCTCTCTTCTCTCTTCTCTCTTCTCTCTTCTCTCTTCTCTCTTCTCT